GCCCTTAGCAAAGGGCCCCGGACCCCGTACTCCCGGAGCACCCCCCACAGGGCGCTGCGAGGGACACGGTCGAATGCCTTCTCCAGATCCACGCAGCACATGTGGACTGGTTGGGCAAACTCCCATGAACTCTCCGCCACCTTGAAGAGGGTATAGAGCTGGTCCAGTGTTCCACGGCCAGGACGAAAACCGCATTGTTCCTCCTGAATTCGAGGTTCGACTATCGGTCGAATTCTCCTCTCCAGTACCCTGGCATAGACTTTCCCGGGGAGGCTGAGGAGTGTGATCCCCCTATAGTTGGAACACACCCTCCGGTCCCCCTTCTTATGATTTATGTAATTCATTTAATCAAGTTACTAGAGAATGGCTGCAATACAGTATAGTATAGAGTATACACTATTAGACATTTTGAATAGCAAAGCTGACAGGATCAATTGCTCATTGCTGCTATCCATGGTAGCTATAGTAACTAATTACAATCAAAAAGGCTGGAGACAACACTAGAGCCATTTTTTTGCAGAAGATGAACAAATAACACAATCACTGATATTTCTTTTAAATTATTGAAGCAATAGCAGCTAACAAAACCTCTGTGTCATCCTTTGCAACAATCAGCAAGGGGACCACTTGCATGAACATGGAAATTACAGTGCATGTAATAAATAAATAAATGAATGATAATAATAATAATAATAATGCCCTATACATGGTGTTAAACATGTCTTTTTGAAGATGAGTGGTAGTTGGCTCCTCATAGCTTGAAAGAGCAAAAGCACAACCAATGATAATATCTTCCAGAATCACAGCAGTCAAAAACCTCATATCATTTTTAGTTATAAACTACTACTGAGTTTTTAATTGTTAGAAGTTGAATAATTTGTTACAATGTCAGACTATACATGAAATGGCTCCTTTGAATTACAACAGGGGGTGTCACTAGTAAACTCTGTGTAAAATAAGGCTGTTAATAAGTATTTCTCCATCACTAGCACTTAGCAGGTAAAGCTAAACAAAAATAATTACTTCAGTGATCAGGATATTCCATGTCTACTTAAAAGTATGGCAAGGTTTTTTTGCAACTACCTAAACATATGCAAGGTTAGAAACATCTTCTACATGCTATGTTGCCTCCACATCGCCTTGTGTTGAGCCAGGAAAACTGATAAAAGAGAGATAAAGTTTTCCTTAGAAGGGAACCTTCTCACCGTTTTGCTCCACTATGCCTTCCTGTGCTGCCTTGGCTCTTGGTAGTGTTCCCCAAGATGCACTGAGTTAACTGCTTCTTCTTGGGGGTGGGGACCTTGGCTTTGACTTTGAAGGCCTTCGAAGGATCCAGCTTGTTGAGATAAGAATCTCCAGCAGGATCAGACAGGCTGAGCTCACAGCCGAAGGTTAGGGGCTGGTACAGGGATGCCCACTGCTGCAGAGGGAACAGGATGTAGTCTAAAACCATGTCCTACTTATATAAAACAAAAAACATATAAGGTGTCAATTACAAAATTGATATAACAGTAGAGATGCTACAAAGAATTTGCACAAATCCTACTAGTTACTTTACCTCCAGCAGTGTCATTTATTATGTCAAACTGTGAAATTTAGTGTAAATGAATAAAAAGGCAGCCAGTACTGGAGGACTAGTCTGCAATTCTCTTTTCTAAGAAGCTGAGGTTAGACATTTTTATGCTATGCGTTGTTAAGTTTAAATCAGCCACCACTACAGTTCACTGTAAAGGGAACAAAATTAATAAAATGTATTCTATACACCTGAAATGACTTCAGGATAATTATATTAAGCCTATAATACAATTTAATATATTACAACTACACATGGTTTGATAAATTCTTATAGCTTTGAAAAACTAAGGGAAGAAGAACATCATGTTAAATTATAGTTACAGCTGTATAGTACTGCATCAACTCAATGTTTTACACATGGCAGAGTACATCATCTTTAAAGGGTGATTAGGACCTCCTGCTACCTTGGCCTGGGGGCTGGGGCCATATGGGGTGAAGGCATATTGCCACTCAGGCAGACCAAGGTGGGTTATCATCAGTCGATAGTAGGAGGTAAAAGTTGCCGTCAGAAAATGCCAGCGCAGAGAGCGATCGAGGAACCATATTTCACTCTGCTGGGCAACTACACCTGGAAAACACAAAGAAAAACAACTAAATTATATACAATTATTAGTTTAACAATATTGTTTAGAGAAATAATGAAAAATGCAATAAACAAAACACCTGGGGTGCAGTTTTTGTAGACCAGACACACTTTGCCATTCTCACCACATGAATCCAGCTCAAAGATCCGGCTCCGGGAATCAAAATGGGGTGCTGCAGGAGCATGTGCTGACCCTGGTAAAGAGTGTTATTGAATCTGTATTTACTTTCCAATCATCATTTCATTCAGTAGCCTGGTTTCTGCACAACTTAGCACACATAACCAGACTTAATTGAACATGAGATGCCCACATGAAGCTCTGACAGGTGGGTTTTTACCACTTTCTGTGCTATTCTCCTCCCAGTCCAGGTCAGCCAGTGAGGGTGCATTAGGAAGAGAGAAGAGTGATACTGGCTGCAACAGCGGGTGTAGCTTGGCCACACTGTTAATCACCATGTGTCCTAGGGGAACACACTCATCTGAAAGACAGACAGTCATAGAACTAAACATGAATCTTTAACGAAAAATATCTAAAGCTTTAGTACATGCTACTGTATTATCTCAATAGTATAATTTCTTTTAAATAAATTAAGACTTTTGTGAGAACCTTGGAACATAACTTGTCGGGTCACTTACTGTCTAGTTTAACGCTCCAGGTTAGTGTAAATCCGTCAGTTGTCAGATAAAAATCTCGCAGGTCCTCTGGCAAAATACAAGTGTTTTTCTGGGGAAGATATATAGCTGATTTGCTATACTGTAACAATGTACATGAGAATTTTCTTTATCATCTTTAACGTTTTTTCACCTGTTCCCATGATAGCAGGCTCCTCTTCTCTGCAGGCTCCCCATCTGCGAAACGCACATCAACAACACCAGGCATGTTTTCTGGCACAAAAGGGGCAAATGAATGAAATGTAAGGTTACTACAGTACGGCTACATTCACAACACCTCTTTGCTAGCTAACTTGACATTATTTGTAAAACCTATCCTACGCACCTAGTATTCGAATAATACCAAGCGTCAGCCTTTCGGCAACACCTTTAAAAGCCAATCCGTCTTTTAGCTCTTCCATTTAGAGGACTATAAACATAAATTTTTGAAAATCTTTTAAAGCATCCTCTAAAGCTTGCCTTAACTGCATCATTCACCTCACTCAAATGCACCATAAACAGAAAACGTCACGTGCAGCTTTAACGAAAAATTGACACACTTTTAAGCCAATAGAAAGCCAACTCTTTACAGAACAACCAATCGGCTCTCCAGTTGTAAAACAAAGGCGGAACTACAATACCTTAGCAACGCTTGGCTCCCTGGGAGTAGTGGCGGTTGATTCAACATGGCGGCAGCAGCAACAAAAAATGGAAATTCGGGGATATTTTGGATGGATGGCGGTATCTGTACTTCTTTTTATATTAGCTTTCTTTTCCAGTGCCCATTTGCACATGCCTTATTGGAAGTTGTAAAAGTTTCCGAACGAGTCTTACAGTTGTAACTTGTCTGTCAGGGATGGAAAGTTATTTTTGAGGAAGTGAGACGGCTAACGTTAGCTCTGACTTTAACCTTTAACGTTACATTTATTAAGTTACGTTAACGTCACCTATTGTATATTAAAACTCGATGGTCAAAGTTTTAATGCGCACTGTCATTAACAATCTACCCTGTTAGGTTTATCAGTGCCACTGACCAAAAGTCAATTTGCAATAGAAAGCTAGCATTGTGTTTTCTTGGTACGTGATTGCAAACATAAGACAAGTTAGCTGGCTGTTTTCTCAGGAATAGGAAACGGGCAAATTATTGATTTGACAGTTAGGATTAGGAAATAACCACTATAACTTAACAGCTTTAATTAAACTTCATTAACCGTTAACTTAAATGCTTATATCTTTCATTTGCTTTGTTTACAGTGTCAGATGAGGAACAGCCCGTAGTGTTTGTTCCAGGTGAGTGTCATTGTGTCAGTAACGTTGTTTAGACAAAATATGAACACAGCCCGCAAGAATTTTATTTACCTAATGGTATCATCCTCTTCTTCCACAAACTGTGGCAGGAGTGGACACAGAGCTGAAGACAACTTCCAGTTTGCTACCAGGCAGCATGGGCATACCTGGTAAAAGAGGTACCAAGATGCAATCCAGGCGTAGCACAGATTGCAAGGCTGAGGCTACACAAAAGAAAGGCTGGAAGAAACAGGAGCACTTACAAAGAGAGCACATTGGAGTGTATACTAAAGATAAAGTGTCAATCAGTCACATTTCTTCTGCTACCAAAGAGCACCTTTCTCCAGCCTTGGATACTTTTCTCCCTTCATCTCAGGTAAACGATTGCTTTGTGTAGGGTATTTTTCTCTTCTTTCCTTTTCATGGATGGAGGGAATGCAAATAATCTGAATACAATACAAGGAAGGATCCAATTAGGCTCACAGAATTTCCCATTAGTCACCTTTAATATCTTCTTAGACTTGCAAACAATTCTTTGCCCAGGTAATCTCTGAGAGCAGCAGGGTCAGGAGCCAGGTCTGTTTGAAGGACCTCTGTCCTGAAGATAAACGCCGAATTGCAAACCTCATTGAAGAACTAGCCAGGTAGCAGCCGTATATGACACTGAGCTCTGAGACAGTGTTTGCTGTTAATATGCATGAATAGAATAACTGAAAGTTTAATTCTGTACTCTGTCTTTTTATCCTTTCACAGTGGCATACGTTGTGCTGACCACTTAACCGTAAAGGCTGTTCTTTATTTGTTGTTTCTCAGAGTGAGTGAGGAGAGAGAAGAGTCAGTGCAGCGTCTGAAAGATGAACAAGAACATTTTGAACACAAGATCCAACAGCTGGAACAACAAAACCTGATCATAGCACATGAGAGGGAGAGTATCCTTTAAAATGAAGTTGATGATGTGTTGGTTGCAATTTGGTACATTATATACTGTGCACTGCTATGCAAAATGTGATGCACAGAGTTCACTCGACATTTCTTGGATATGATGGTTCTATCAGTGTGAAAAAGTTTTCGATAATGTATGCTAAAACTATGATAAGATGCACTTGACACACTATTTTGAAAGTGGAATGATGGTGCTACAATAGGTTTAAAGAATGCCCTGCAAGAAATGTATTGTTTAATGGGCGGCTGCGGCTCAGGAGGTAGAGCGGGTCGTTTCCTAACCGGAGGATTAGCAGCGGTTCGATTCCCAGTTTGTCCAGTCAACATGTCGAGGTGTCCTTGAGCAAGACACTGAACCCCCAGTTGCTCCCGGTGATGTCACCGGTGTGTGAGTGCTTGAGAGTGTGAATGGGTGAATGGTCGAATAATGTGAAAGCGCTTTGAGTGTGCTGTAAAAGCATAGAAAGGCGCTATACAAGTATAAGACCATTTACCAAGACCATTTAACCAGAGGAAATGTCACAAAAATTTGTAAAGGTGTAATAAGATGGAAACATGATTCATTTCTTTCACTGATTAGCACAACTTCAGCTTAAAAGGAGGGACTAATCAGAAAATTCAGCCACTGTAGTCTTTGTTTGAAATTAAAACCTGTTGCCTGTCCCCCTAAAATGTTCTTAAAAATCCACTAATTAATTATTGCTGGATAAATGGTTCTGTTGCTGTATGCGTTACTCCATAATAAAGTCTGCAGGGGGCAGTGTTGTCTTAGGTAAGACCATATACAGTCTTTGGCCAAGACCTTTCAGTTTGATACAAAAGACAGAAATAGAGCAGATTCTAAATTTTCTGATGCCTGCTGCAGTTGTCTTTTGCTAGTGCTGGCAGTTTATCTGCTGTTGTGTACAGAATCATTTTTAGAATTGTGTCGTGGCTTGAACCATCTGAATCACTGTATCATGCAAATATGAGTTTTGATATGTATTAAGAATACCACAGTGTTTGCTTCCACCATGTGCTTTTGTAACCCTCCCTGAACGTTGAACATTAATCATAGAATATCCCTCAGTTTGTCCTACAAAATGAGAACAGCTACTGTAGGTTACCAGCTGATTCCTGATTGCCTAGCATAAGATTAGTGCTATAGTTTTAGAAACAGTATCCTGTTTATTGCGCCCCACAACCCACCTACTATCTTCATAACAATTTCATTCAGGTCAAACCAGAACATGGCCAGCAGTCAATTTGGGTTAAAACGTTGCAAAATATGAACAGTAATTGACCCAGCTGGTAAATTGCACGATTGGCAACGACAGCGGGGAAAATTAAGAAAGCACAACTCAATTAAAGGCACTTTGGCTCAGAGACTTGGCATTTACACCAAACTTCTAAACTCCATTAAAAACGTATTTGAGAGGAAAAAGCATTGGGATCCAAGCACCTTGGGGGGGGGATAACGTCGTCTTTTAAAGTGTGTGCTAGAGTCATGAAGGCTCTTCTCAGGCAGAAGGTTCCAGCGCTTCACTGAAAGGTTAAGGAGACACTAAAGGCAAACACATTGAATGAGAATCTTGTCAAGTCTAATTCCATTATGCCTCTGCTTATCTTATCGTACCAAGATTGAGGCTGGTCAGGAGTATAAAGAATGTAGGGCTGTACCTTAGCCCCAAGCCACGCAAGATGAGAAGGAAAAAGTACCCTTGATATTTGGGTGTTTAGCTGACATTTGGAACTGACTGGCACAGAGGACTGAGTTTGTGTTTCAGAAAGGAAGGATGTCTTTTTTTTTTAACTTCAAGGCATGTTGTCAGAAGTCAAAGTGGCGTTACTAACACAGTGGACTGTTCTACTTGCTATATCCAGAACAAGGCACAGCAGGTGCTATGGCTAATGGCATTTACTGAGTTGAAACAACTGGGGGGAAACCTGAGGCCATAGAGAGTGGAGAATAATAGCCCTGTTAGGATATGTCACTGAAAAATGCTGCATGTTGTGACAGAGGATTGCTAGAGCTCAATGCATTTTTACCCTCCCATGTTTTGGATGGATAACCTTTACAATGTGAAAATCAGGTTCTATGAAGGGCGTGTTTTCTAATAAGTGTACATAAGAAGCTTGCTTTTGAGAATTGTATCATCGTTGTTCTTATGCACAACTTCGTGAGTGTTGTTGTGAGTGTTGTGTATCTTACCTTTTGTTCTAAGAATACAGGAAGAGTTGTGGTTAAAGCCAGGTGTTAAGGTGTACTCTGTTTATTGGCAATGTTTTTTCACCAAAGTAGTACATGTTGGCCTTACAAATAGTGAGGCTTTGACTTGTTGAGCTGAGAACTTTTTTGTGAGAGCTCTATTCTGCTGAGTGTAAATTTTGAAAATGTAAAAGCACAGAGCTGCTGTCATTTGAGGCTAAAGGTTGGCTTTCAAAATAAATGTCATTATAACTGATTTCTTAGTGTGAAGTTTATAATATTGTACAGTGAATCAGCTTAACTGCTTAGCTGAATATGATCAAATCAAATTGAACCAGTCATGGACTTATTTTGAAATAAATAATGCACTGAATTTTTGCTAAAATAATCAAAATTAAATTAAGGTGACATTGAATCATCTTTACTGAGTATTGTGCCGATTTTTGGCTTTGTGAATTGTGGGCAATTGACATATTTCATAGACACAAGAGAATATGTACAGATGTCATGACTAAGGATTCAGCAAGAATCTAATTAGTCTCTGTCTAAAAACAAAGGTTTTTTTTATTTATTATCTTTCCATTTGTAGGCATAGCAATGAAAATGGCTGTGGATGTCTGATGAGAACAGTTTTCTGTATGTTTGCTCTTGGAATTTTAAAACAATTGTCAAAATAATTGTTAGCCAACACGTCGCATTATTTTTTGACTTATTATGTGATTTGTACTTGTGGCTCTTCTCTTGATTTAGTACTTCTGAGGCAATTATGTAAACAGTCTTTTTCTATTAATTTCCCATCATTGCTTCCTTACACACACACATTCATTCACATCACTCT